GGGGCCGGCGGATCCGCGCGAGGGTCGCGGCGGGGACAGCGGGGGATGCTCTGCAGCTCCCGCACCGGCCGGCGGGTTGTGGTTAGCAAGTTCCTGCTTCCGTTGCAGCCACCGAAAGTTTGCCGGGGGGGAAGGGCACGTTCCTGCCCTGCAACCCGGAGCCGCCTCCCCGCGGAGGCCCCCGGGCCCCAGCGCACGCAGCAGCGCCGCGGGCCCCAGGGTGTGCGCTGCCAGGGGCGACCCTGCCGGTAGCCCCAGGTCTGCAGCTGCGCCGTGGCGAAGAGTCCGGCTGTGCAGAGATGCACACTGCGGTGAAGTGTGTCCTAGCCTCCTGGTCCCTCCGCAGAGGGACCCCTGACAGCCGCGTCCTGACGGCCAAGAGTTCACAGTGCACTCTCTTTGGGCGGTAGTCATTAGAATCCTATTTCGGTCCTCGGAGGATGGAGGGGCCTCACAGTTGGCGATTCTTGAATTAAATATGATGTGCAAAATAAAGAAAAAACAAAAGAAAATTTTTAAAAAATGATGTGCAAGGCAAGTCTCAAGGAAGGTGTTTGGCTTTCTGGAGGATTCACTGTTTATAGGTAAGGATAAGAATTATGAGGACGGTGGTGTCTCTTATGGTTATGAAATTACATCCCTAACACTTAGCGTAGTACCTGGTGAGGTGCTAGGTACTCAGAAGTACTCACCCGGTAGGTACTCAGTAAATATTTAACTAAAACATATTTGTTGACTGAGTTAATGCGGAAAAAAACTATGTACAGAGGGCGTTGGCTGTAGAAGTGCGTTTCTAAATCACTGCTCACTTCAACCCCACCTCCATATACACACAAACAAATGTAACATGACCAAACCACTGCCACTTAATTTGCCAAGTGGGCTAACCTCTGATGGTATCTTCACGTTGGTTGGTCGGTGTGAAAGGGCTTTCAACTTGAAGCACTGTGCAATTGTATATTGTTATTCTAGGCCTGTACAGCCAACACCTACACCCTAGTTTTAACCAATAGCGATGGGAGGCATATGTTGACAGAGAATGCTTGTGAACAATGATCCATTGTGTGAAACTAACTCTTCTAGCTGGACCCAGAGGACAACCTACTCCTGCATTACAATAATGTTGCCAAAGCTTGGCTTCAGAGTTACCAAAGAAAAGTAAACTCAGTGATTTCCCACTGCACTGATTTTCCTGATGCAACAATGGACTGATGTGTACATGCATTTTATCTCTGCAGGTGATATACCTCAGGGCCCAGGGTGTAGAAACTTCACATTTTAAAAATCTCCCTACACCAGGTAGTCCATGAGGGCACTAAGTAGACTTTTCCATCAGGAGAAATTTCAGATTCAGTGTTTTGATACAATGAATCTGTTATCATTGAAGTGTAATAGACCTGCAACATAACCAGCTGCCACATTAGACAAGCCCAAGTGCAAAATGGCACCACCCACCTCCTGCACTCCCTCCCCACTTCCCTTTATGAGAAGCCTCCTGACTTAAACAGAAACCCCTTTTGCTTCTGCAAGGGTGCAGTTCTCCACCCGGATCCACATTAGCATAATGACCCTCCTTGATAGTATCAGCCAGCCCTTGGTGCACTATATAAGCTCTATCACCCCCATGCCTCGTGCTGTCCCCCATTTTCAGGGCAGCCCTGGGCTGCTTGCCACTTTGAGCACAGCCCAGCAGATTTTTCTTCCTTTAATAAAGCTTGAACGGTACCTGGCATCTCGGCTCACTTTCTTTCATTATAGTACTGAAACCGGGGAAGGGTTTTGGCCGACGTTGTAGACGATCCCCTCTCTCTTGGGGTGATTGGCCCTTGGCCACCCTTCCTGAACCTGCAGAAACCAGATGCCCCCCGGGACTCTCTCTCCTCTCAGATCAACACATCCAACACCGGCCTCAATTCAGGGTGAGTCAGTGGGTCTGTCCTGCCTACTTCTACAGTTCCCCAGACTACTCTCTCTACGACTCAGGTCTCTAAGAAGCCCAGGCGCCAGGCCGAGGGAACACTTCTCGTGCCCCCCAGCTATTGGAGGATGCTCCTCTAGCCAGTCAGTGGCTTTTCTCTTGAAAAGAAGGTGGGCACCAAAGAGGATGCCCTTTGCTGGCACTCTTCTTCTACCAGGACTGACTGCCCTTTCTCACCCTCTACATGGGATCCTCATGATCCAAACATCCACACTCTAAGTCCTTGGGCTGTTTCCTGGCCAATTTCTTTGCCTCCAGGGAGATATTGAACCTAAACGTCACGTCCCCTTTTCTACTGTACTCTGCACTCTATGCCTCTGGGCCGCTCTACACCTTGGGGCCGTCTCCTGGCCAATTTCTTGGCCTCCAGGGAGACATTAAAACTCAAACACATCGTTATAATGGATCCCAGTGGCCACAAGATGGCACTCGATTTAGACACTCACTGAAATGGCAAAAGCTGTAGAGATTCCTTGTTCAGGCCTTTTCCTATCTCTGAACATGTTCTTCTCTCTGTCAAAACTGTCCTTTGTCTCAAATTCTCCTAGCTCATGCTCAACGTCTCCTTCCAGACTCAGATCAATCTTCTGATCCGTCAGCCCTCCACGTTTCTCTCTCTTCCCCACACCTGGCCTCAAGATGCTCATCCTCAGCCGAACTCCTCCCCTTCTCCCCCTTCATCAGGTAACAATCCCACCACACCTCTGGCTTTTTTTTTTTTTTTCGTCTTTTTCTTGACCGGTAAGGGGATTGCGCGGAGGCGCTCCCGCCGAGGGTTCGGATCCCACATACAGACCAGCCGCTCACTGGCTGAGCGAGGTGCGGGAGCAACACCGAGGGTTGCGATCCCGTTGCCGGTCCCGGTCCGGTACGGGGGCGACACTGAGGGTTGCGATCCGTTGCCGGTCACAGAAAAAAGGAAAAAAAAAAAAAAAGAACACCACCCACAGGGCCGGCCCGGTGGCGCACTGCTACAGTGCGCCGCTTGGGAAGTGCGGCGGCGCTCCTGCCGAGGGGTCGGATCCCACATACAGACCAGCCGCTCACTGGCTGAGCGAGGTGCGGGAGCAACACCGAGGGTTGCGATCCCGTTGCCGGTCCCGGTCCGGTACGGGGGCGACACTGAGGGTTGCGATCCGTTGCCGGTCACAGAAAAAAGGAAAAAAAAAAAAAAAGAACACCACCCACAGGGCCGGCCCGGTGGCGCACTGCTACAGTGCGCCGCTTGGGAAGTGCGGCGGCGCTCCTGCCGAGGGGTCGGATCCCACATACAGACCAGCCGCTCACTGGCTGAGCGAGGTGCGGGAGCAACACCGAGGGTTGCGATCCCGTTGCCGGTCCCGGTCCGGTACGGGGGCGACACTGAGGGTTGCGATCCGTTGCCGGTCACAGAAAAAAGGAAAAAAAAAAAAAAAGAACACCACCCACAGGGCCGGCCCGGTGGCGCACTGCTACAGTGCGCCGCTTGGGAAGTGCGGCGGCGCTCCTGCCGAGGGGTCGGATCCCACATACAGACCAGCCGCTCACTGGCTGAGCGAGGTGCGGGAGCAACACCGAGGGTTGCGATCCCGTTGCCGGTCCCGGTCCGGTACGGGGGCGACACTGAGGGTTGCGATCCGTTGCCGGTCACAGAAAAAAGGAAAAAAAAAAAAAAAGAACACCACCCACAGGGCCGGCCCGGTGGCGCACTGCTACAGTGCGCCGCTTGGGAAGTGCGGCGGCGCTCCTGCCGAGGGGTCGGATCCCACATACAGACCAGCCGCTCACTGGCTGAGCGAGGTGCGGGAGCAACACCGAGGGTTGCGATCCCGTTGCCGGTCCCGGTCCGGTACGGGGGCGACACTGAGGGTTGCGATCCGTTGCCGGTCACAGAAAAAAGGAAAAAAAAAAAAAAAGAACACCACCCACAGGGCCGGCCCGGTGGCGCACTGCTACAGTGCGCCGCTTGGGAAGTGCGGCGGCGCTCCTGCCGAGGGGTCGGATCCCACATACAGACCAGCCGCTCACTGGCTGAGCGAGGTGCGGGAGCAACACCGAGGGTTGTGATCCTCTAGCCAGTCCCGGTTCGGTGCGGGCGCAACACTGAGGGTTGCGATCCGTTGCCGGTCACAGAAAAAAGGAAAAAAAAAAAAAAAAGAATACCACCCACAGATCACTCAGGTCCTTTTCTGAACCCTACATCACACCCAATTCACACACAAATTCTTAATAATGCCTCGATGCCCAGCCCCCTTACTGGGATGGGACATTCTTTTCAAATTCAAAGCTACTCTTACCCTAAACACGTTAACTCCAGCTATAATACTCCTGTTACAGGCCGCCCCAGACCTGGCCCCTGAAGCTTCCACTTTCCCCTCCCCCTTGGACAAGGTTAATCCCTAGTATGGGATGCTTCTTTGCCTTTTATTGCTATGCACCATTCCCCTATCCTTGTTAAATTGCAGAACCCCTCTTTGTTCCCTGATGTCCCACAGTACCCCATCACTAACAAACAACTAATAGGCTTAAAACCCATCGTACACAAACTCCTTTCTTCTCATCTCTTTTGGCTCACCTGCTCGCCTTTTAATACACCCATTCTTCTGATTATAAAGCCTAATGGCTCATACCGTTTAGTACAGGACTGATCCTGACACATGCCATTCCCAACAACTCACCTGGACAGTACTACCTCAGGGGCTTTGGGATAGCCCCCACTTTCCAGCCAGGCCTTAGCTCAAGACTTATCTGAACTTCCCCCAACATCTAGCGCTTTAATACAATATGTGGATGACCTCCTTCTTT